CTTTTATTTTATTTTTATTATTATTATTATTTTAGAACTTATAGCTAGCCATTTCCCACACTGCATAAATCCAGACGACATATTGTTTTTAAATTTAAGTATTAACATTCATGAACTTCTATTTTATAATCAGTTGGAAACGAGAAGAATAGTCATATTACAGGAAATTGATAATAGTTTTTATATTTTAATAGAGGTCATATTATGGACGGTTTATTTGAGTCTTAATATTAATTTTTTTTTATTTTATTAATCAGGTCTCATTCAAGTTTCTAATAGTTTTTTTAAGTTTAGCTGATATTATTTGGGATAATACAAATTATAAAATATTTTGAGTTTTATCAATCTAGTTGGGATGACCAAATGCATGTACTAAAATCAAATGTATATTTGCAAAGTGTGTGTAAGAATATTCCCAATCTTAATACAAATACCTAATTAATTGTTTGATTGCTTAATTTAAAGATTCTCTTTTATCACTTGTGTGTAATGTTCTGATTTTTAATAGTTTTAGGTTTATTATTTGATTAGTTTTTTTTTATATAATTAAGGTAGTTAGATAAATAGCATCAAATAAACATGTAATGTAAAAAAGAAGTTAATTGAAATTAATTAAAATTTATGCTATACGTGACAGAAATGAAAAGGTGAGTTATTCTTCAAAAATGCATATTAAATTTATAGTCTAGACTGAAATTTATCATATTTTTATATTTGCGTAGTCTACTATCTTTGTAAAATGTGAGTATTGTTTGTCACATAATTATTTAAATTAGGGACTTACTATTTTTATTTGTTATTTTATTATTTTGTTTTCTTTCTACTTTTTTTAATTAATCCCACATCATGAATTTAATTAATTTTGATTCCCGTGCTAAACATTAGTAAACAATATGATCAATGTTGATCATTTCTATTCTGATTTTAATTTTGAAAATAATTTTAGTGAATATTGAATTTCAAAATTAATTAAAGAAACTCTCAATCGAAAGCCTAGATGTAGATTTTAAGTTAAACTAGCTTGTATATGTTATATTCATTGACTCAAAACTTTAATAAGATAAGAATCTTTGTGTATATATATATATATATATATATATATATATATATATATATATTTAATTCACCAGTGTAGTAAGAGGGTGTTGTTTCAAAAAAACATTATTTAATGAAATGAAAACAAGTTATTGTAAATTAAATATTCCAAGTGCTTGATTCTTAGAGTTGAATTAGGGAACAAAAGGAAAATTCGAATCTCACCGTTGGATTTTGATACATTACCCTTAGGACACTATAATCTACCCTTGTCTTGTTTCATTGAACTGATACAAATCTCAACCCTAATGCCACCTCAAATACCTCAACAAACATTAAAAAAAAAAAAAAAGCCCCTAAAAGATCTGGGTCTTAAATGTTGATAGAAACATCGAGGATTCAATTTAGAAAAGAATGTTGATGAAGATTAGTATCGAAAAAATTTCAATACTCTCTTTTTTGCCAATTTTCCGTCTTTTATTTCTTAATGAACTCACTTTCTTCGTTAATTTGATCTCGATAGATATTTATATTTTTTAATTAAAAAATTATTTAAAAAAGGTTAAAATTTT